TTCTGTGTCCGTGGAACAGCAGAAAGCGGCAGGATGTGTCTGCTTCCAGTGCTTCTCTTGGCTCTTCCTTCACACTGCTGGCCCACATCAGGGACACAGAACGGCTTCTCTCATGCCAGCGTTATCCCAGTCTTCTGCATTTCCCCAGGTTCCTCCCAGCTTCACCAGGGAAATTCTCTGCTCGTGCCTGTCCATTCCCTTGCCCAGAAGGCAGCACCCGCTTGTCTTTGGACATGAGCTGCTGGCCACAGCCAGCCAGGCAGCAACCGGAGCATTGGGCATCAGATGCTGGGCTGATGTTCTTTCCCAGAAAGCGAGAAAAACAGAAGGACACAAGGGAACTTGACAGTATCTCTGTAAGAATGTCCTTGTCCCCTGGAAGTCAACAGTGGATGGTGTTTTTGTGCTGCAGATTATCACTTCCAAGCAAAAATCATTCTAGGAAGGAGCAACAGCTTTTGACAGCTACCAAGTGTGGCTACCAAGTGCTGCTCCAGGTGCTCCTGCCTGCAGCCACCTGCAGAAAGGATCCCATAGACACCCAGGCATGTTGGCTTTGGCTGTCCTCTGGCACACAAGTCCAGCTTCGGCAATTAGGACAATTAGGGAACAGCATGTTAATTTCAGGAGCACAATTAGAGAACATCATGTTAATATTAATGAGGACAATTAGAGAGCACTTTGTTAATTTCAGGAGGACGATTAGAGAACACCACGTTAAATTCAGGAGGACAATTAGAGAACACCACATTAAATATAACAAAGATGATTAGAGATCACCATGTTAGTTTCAGGAGCACAATTAGAGAACACCATGTTAATTTAACGAAGACAATTAGAGAATACCATGTTAATTTAAGGAGGACAATTAGAGAGCTCTGTGTTAAAATTAACAAAGACAATTAGAGAACACTATGTTAATTTCAGGAGGACAATTAGAGAATAGCATGTTACAATTAAGGAGCACAATTAGAGAATACCATGTTAATTTAAGGAGGTCAATTAGAGAACACCATGTTAATTTAACGAAGACAATTAGAGAATACCATGGTAATTTAAGGAGGACAATTAGAGAATATGATGTGAAAAATAATGAGGACTATTAGAGAATACCATGTTAATTTAATGAGTACAATTAGAGAATACCATGTGAATTTCAGGAGGACAATTAGAGAACGCCATGTTAAAATTAACAAGGACAGTTAGGGAACACCATCTTAATTTCAGGAGCGCAATTAGAGATCACCGTGTTAATTTCAGGAGGACATACTAAAATGCCATCAGAGGCTGTGAAACAGCAGGGTGGAGACACAAGAATAAATAAAATAAAATAAAGTAAAACAAAACAAAATAAATAAAATTTAAAAAAAAATAAAGTAAAATAAAATAAATAAAATAAAATATAAAAATGAAATAATAAATCCTGACCCTCAGGATGTCTCTGAGCCAGAGAGTGAAGGGGTCAGGCAAAGGAGCTCCCAAAACATCAGAAATTTGAAAGAATGTTTGAGTAGTGTGAAAATCCCCGATATATGATTGGCGTTTGGCAAATATTAAAATGAATACTGAATATGATATGTGTTATGTTGGAGAGATATGCAGTATTAATCTCTTAAATTTGGCTGTATTAACATTTTTTAAATTTGGCTGTATGAATCTCTTTTTCATTTTAATAGTGCTGTATTAATCTCTTTTATGTTTTGCTGTATTAATGTCTTAAATTTGGCTGTATTAATGTCTTACATTTTTCCTTTATTAATCTCTTTTAAGTTAAGTTTTTCCTGTATTAATCTCTTTTGTTTTGCTGTATTAATCTCTTAAATTTGGCTGTATTAATCTCTTTTATTAACCTCTTTAACATTTTTCTTGTATTAATCTCTTTTAAATTTTTCCTGTATTAATATATTTTGAGTTTTGCTGCATTAATCTCTTTTAAATTTTGCTGTATTAGTCCCTTTTAAATAGTGCTGTATTAAATTAAGTCTCTTAAATTTTGCTGCATTAATTTTGTTTAAATTTTTCCTGTATTAATCTCTTCTAAATTTTTCCTGTATTCATCTAAGTTTTCCTATGTTAATCTCTTTTCAGTTTTTCCATATTAATCTCTTTTAAATTTTTGCTGTATTCATCTCTTTTAAGTTTCCCTGTATTAATCTATTTTCAGTTTTCCATATTAATATCTTTTAAGTTTTTCCTCTATTAATCTCGTTTAACTATTCCTGTATTAATATTTTAAATTTTTCCTGCATTCATCTCTTTTAAGTTTGTCCTGTATTAATCTCTTTTCAGTTTTCCTGTATTAATATATCTTAAGTTTTTCCTGCATTAATCTCTTTTAATTTTTTCCTGTATTAATCTCTTCTAAATTTTTCCTGTATTAATCTCTTTTATGTTTTGCTGCATTAATCTCATTTAAATTTTTCCTGTGTTAATCTCTTTTAAGTTTTTCCTGTACTAATCTCGTTTAATTATTCCTGTATTAATCTTTTCAATTTTCCCTGCATTCATCTCTTTTAAATTTTTTCTGTATTAATCTCATTTCAGTTTTTCCGTATTAATCTCTCTTAAATTTTTCCTGTATTCATCTCTTTTCAGCAGTGTGGCACACACACTTTTTAGCCTAGAGCACAATATTAAAAGAACAGCAACAGACACCAAAATCTCAAAAAAAACCCCAAAACATTATTGCCTCCTTCTGTGGAAATCTCAGATTTTCAAAGATTGATTTACAAGATGGGGGGGAAAGCTAAAATTTAAACTCCTAAAATTTCAACACAACGAGTTTTTCACAAATAACGAAATCATGAATATGCACGCGCCTCAGCGATGTCACCCCGCTGGAATTATTCTCCTTTTTATATCCTATTGCCATTATTATTATTAAACTTTAAGAACTCCAAACCGTGAATTCTGTTCCTCGCACTTTCAGACCCAAACTCCCTTACTTTGAACCCAAACTCACTTTTTCACCCCAAAATCTTCCCCCTGCCTCCCTGGGTTGACTTTTGAAGGTCGGACTCCCGTTATTTTTAAATCCAGATTCTACTTTTTAGGTCCAAACTGCTCAATTTTAGTGCTCAAACCCCAAACTATGGCCCAAATTCTCCATTTTTGGACCCAAACTCCCCCTTTTGGGGTCCAGACTTCCCATCTAGGCACCCAAATTCCCCTTTTTGGGGCACAAATTCCCGATTTTTTTGGTTGAAATTCTCCCTTTTTGAAACCAAATCCCCCTTTTTCGGTCCAAATTTCCCCCTTTTCTTGCTCAAATCCCCTTTTTTGGGCCCAAATTCTCTCTTTTTGGACCCGAATGCGCCTTTTGAGCCCAAACTTTCCCTTCCTGGACACAGATTCCTCCTTTTTGGGCCCAAATTCCCCTTTTAAGACCCAAATTCCATATTTTTTTTTTTTTACCCAAACTTCCGTTTTCACCCCAAAATCTCCTTTCTTGGGCCCAAATTTCCCCCCTCGATCTGCTGGGTTGAGCTGTACTCCCCGCTCTCTTTCGGGACTACATTTCCCATCGTCCCTCTCGCCAATTTCCGGTGTAAAGCCCGCCTTTTCCCCTTTTCTCCTGAGGCGACTTCCGGCCGGGTGCCGCGCTGGCGTCGCCATGTTCCTGCAGTGCTAGGAGAACGAGGGCGGGGAGCGCGTCTACACCCTGCGGGTACCGGCCGCTTTTGGGGCGCTTTTGGGGGATTTAGGGGAGGACTCGGAGGGGACCCGCGGTGCGTGCTGGGAGCGATGCGGGTCAGTTTGGCTGTGCTCAGGGGGGAATTTGGGCTCTCCCTGACGCTCTGTCCCCACAGAAGGTGTCCCCGGACGGGGTCCCCACACGCTTGGCGCACCCCGCCCGCTTCTCCCCCGATGATAAATTCTCCCGGCACTGCCTGGCCCTGAAGCGGCGCTTCGGGGTTTTGCCAACGCAGCGAGGCCGGGCCCTGCTCTGAGGCACCCCAGAAATCCCCTCAGGAGCCCTGAGATGGCCCCGAGCTCCTGGGAGGGATCCCCGCCATGAGAGAAGGTCAAATCACAGTGCCAGCAGACTGCACGGAAATGAGGGGAAAGGAACGTTTTAAAGAGGAGGAAAAATGAAATATTAAAGGTCGAGGGTCTCTGAGTTTTGGTGACCAAATAACTTGGGGTTTTCTTCCTGTTTTGGGGGTATTTTTGTGTTTTTTTGGGTCTGGGGAGAGAATTTAGGGGGGCATTGGGGGAAGCGCTAACGGGGCTCTAAGGGGCGCGGGGGATGATGGGAGTTGTAGGCGCGGGTATAACGGTGCTCTATGGGGCGCGGGGGATGATGGGAGATGGAGTCGCGGGTATAACGGTGCTCTATGGGGCGCGGGGCATGATGGGAGATGGAGTCGCGGGTATAACGGGCTCTATGGGGCGCGGGGCATGATGGGAGATGGAGTCGCGGGTATAACGGTGCTCTATGGGGCGCGGGGCATGATGGGAGATGGAGTCGCAGGTATAACGGGGCTCTGGGGCGCGGGAGATGATGGGAGATGGAGTCGCTGCTTTAAGGGGGCTAAGTGAGGCCGCGGGGCATCACGGGAAATGGATGCATGGCCGTAAATGGGCGCCGCGGGGCATGATGGGAGCTGTAGTCCCGGAATTCTCTGTAACGGAGCGGTTGGGGGTCCTGGAGGGCAGGTGTGGGTCTACAGGGGCACCTGGGGGGATTCTGTGGGGTCGGGAAGCCCCTGGGGGCACCTGGGGAGCTCTGAGGGGTCTCCGTGGGGCTCAGGACGTGACGGGAATTGTCGGGCCGGAACTCGGCTCTGAGGGGGCTCTGTCGCCGCGGGGCATGACGGGAGCTGTAGTCCTAGCTTTAACGGCGCTCCGTGCGTGCCGCGGTGCATGGTGGGATCTGTAGTCCCTTAGGTGGCGCTCGAAGGCCTCTGTGTGGTTTGGGGCATCTGGGCGTTCGAGGAGGCGTTCGGGGGTCCCGAATGGGCTCGGGGGGGCTCTCGGGGGTCCCGCAGGGTCTGGGGGGCTCCTGTGGGGCGCATGGTAGCGGATAAGGGGAGCGCTGTGGAGCGCGGGGCCTGACGGGACTTGTAGTTAGGCCGCCATGGAGCCGCTGTGCATGACGGGGCTTGTAGGCTCAAAGTCGCTAAAATGGCGCCGACACCAGGCCCCGCCTCCAGGTGCTGTTCCCGGGTGCTGATTGGTTGCAGACAGTGATGGGCGGGAGCCTCAGCCAATGGGAGGCGGCAGAGGCGGGACCAGCCCATTCAACCCCTCCAGTCCCTCCCAGTAAAGCCCAGTTCATCCCAGTCCAGGCTAGTTCCTCCCAGTACAGCCCCAGTGCCCCTCCAGTCCCTCCCAGTGCAGCCCAGTTTGCCCCTGTGCCTCCCAGTATCTCCCAGTTCTACCAGTGCCACTCCCAGTTCGTCCCAGTCCATCCCAGTTTGTCCCAGTGCATCCCAGTGCCACTCCCAGTCTGTCTCAGTGTTCCCAGCATCCCCCAGTGTCACTCCCAGTTCATCCCAGTATCCCCCAGTTCATCCCAGTCCTTCCGCGGCCAAACCTCTCCCCCGCCCCCATATTTGGCCACGCCCCTTCCATTGGCCACGCCCCCTCGTTCCGTGCCCCGCCCCCTCCCATTTCTCCCCCGCCCCCATTTCCAGTTCCCGCGGCTGCTCTGGGAAGGTGAGTGGAGCCCCAGTGACTCCCAGTTCATCCCAGTAACCCCCCCAGTAACCTCCCAATAACCCCCCCAGTCCCTCCCAGTAACTCCCAGTAACCCCCCAGTAACATCCCAGTAACCCCCCATCCATCCCAGTCTCTCCCAGTTTGCCCAGTTCTCTCCCAGTAGTCCCCAGTTGGTCCCAGTCCCCCCCGGCTCCCCCCAGTTTGTCCCAGTTTGTCCCAGTCCCCTCCACCCCCCCAGGGATCAAAGGTGACGGAATGGAGTGGGAACAGCTCCGGGAACTGGTGATACTGGGAGGTACTGGTTTGGACTGGGATGGACTGGGAGGGAACTGGGAGGGACTGGGGGGGACTGGGATGGACTGGGAGGGACTGGTTTGTACTGGGAGGGACTGGGAGGAATTCGGGGGTTACTGGGAGGAACTGGGCCCAGTCCCAGCCCAAACTGGTTTAACTGGTGTCCCCTCCCCCCCCCAGTTCTGTCCCTGGCCAGAGGCGACACCCCGGTGAGTGACTGGGACAAACTGGGGCAAACTGGGAGGGACAGGGACAAACTGGGACAAACTGGGAGTGACTGGGATGGAAAGCCCGAACTGGTTTATACTGGTCCATACTGGTTTCTACTGGTCCATGCTGGTCCATACTGGCTTATACTGGTTTATACTGGTCCGTGCTGGTCTCTCTGACCCCTCCCTTCCCCCCCAGATGCCTCCAGTCCCTTCCAGTTCAGTGAGTGCGGGAACTGGGAGGGACTGGGAGGGTCCCCAAAGTGTCCCCAAAGTGTCCCCAAGGTGTCACCAGGTACCCCCAGGTGTCCCCAGGTATTCCCCAGGTGTCCTCAGGGTGTCCCCAAGGTGTCCCCAGGTGTCCCCAAAGTGTCCCCAAGGTACCCCCAGGTGTCCCCAAGGTGTCCCCAGGGTGCCCCAGTGTGTCCCCAAAGTGTCCCCAGGGTGTCCCCAAGGTGTCCCCAGGTGTCCACAGGGTGTCCCCAGGTACTCCCAGGTGTCCCCAACATGTCCCCAAGGTACCCCCAGCTGTCCCAGTGTCCCTGTCCCTGTCCCAGACTGGTGTCACCTGCGCGTCGGTGGCCTCGCGGTGGCCGCAGTGCTGAGCGTGCTGGGGGGTCGTCGTCCTGCTCAGTGAGTGCCACCCCTGTCACCTGTGTCACCTGTATGTCACCTGTGTGTCACCTGTGTCACCTGTGTATCACCTGTGTCACCTGTGTGTCACCTGTGTGTCACCTGTGTCACTTGTGTCACCTGTGTGTCACCTGTGTGTCACCTGTATGTCACCTGTGTGTCACCTGTGTCACCTGTATGTCACCTGTGTGTCACCTGTGTCACCTGTGTGTCACCTGTGTCACCCGTGTGTCACCTCTGTGTCACCTCTGTGTCAGCTGTGTGTCACCTGTGTGTCACCTGTGTGTCACCTGTGTCACCTCTGTGTCACCTCTGTCACCCGTGTGTCACCCGTGTGTCACCGTGTGTCACCTGTGTGTCACCTGTGTCACCTCTGTGTCACCTCTGTGTCCCCTGGGTGTCCCCAGTGTCCCCTCTGTGTCCCCTCAGGTGGGAAGTGCAAGTGCTGGAGCAAGGCCAGGTGAAACCCGGGGACATTTGGGGACATTCAGGGACAATTTGGGGACATTCGGGGACATTTGGGGTCATCGGGGAATTTGGGGACGTTGGGGGATGACATCGGGGACACTTTTTGGGGGATTTGGGGACGTTTTGGGGACCTTGGGGACACTGAGGGGGATTTGGGGTTGGGGGATTGGGGACATTTGGGGACATCGGGGACATTTGGGGGACACTTGGGGACAGTCTGGGGACACCTCAGTGTCCCCTCCCCTCCCCCGCAGGCACCGCCCCCCCCATTCCCCCGGAGCTGTCACCTCTGGCTGGGACAGGTGAGTGTCCCCTCCCCCCTGGGGACACCTTGGGGACACCGCGGGGACACTTTGGGGACACCGCGGGACGGTGCCACCCCCTGACCCCCCCCCTCTCTCCGCAGGAGCCTGAGCTGTCCCCAGGTGTCCCCAAATGTCCCCAACAGGTGACACCGGATGGGGGGGAGGGGTGGCATTGATTTCCCCGAAATGTCCCCAAATTTTCCCCAAAATGTCCCCAAGAAAGGCAATGAATAAAAATGGGTGAAAAAAAAATGGATTTTGGTCACTGGGGGAGGGGACACGGGGACGGCGGGACAGCGGTGGCACCGGGAGGGGACACAAAGGCTTGGGGACATCGGGGCCATGGTGGTACCAGGAGGGGACGCTGAGGCCATGGTGGCCTTGGGGACATCGGGGCCATGGTGGCCTTGGGGACATCGGGGCCATGGTGGCCTTGGGGACATCAGGGCCATGGTGGCTTTGGGGACATCGGGGTGATGGTGGCACCAGGAGGGGACGCTGAGGCCATGGTGGCCTTGGGGACATCGGGGCCATGGTGGCCTTGGGGAGATCGGGGCCATGGTGGTCTTGGGGACATCGGGGCGATGGTGGCACCAGGAGGGGACACTGAGGCAATGGTGGCCTTGGGGACGTTGGGTCAGTGGTGAACTTGGGGACATCGGGGTGATGGTGGCCTTGGGGACATCAGGGCCATGGTGGCCTTGGGGATGTCACGCGAGGGTGGCCCCAGGTCCCTGCTGGTGTCTGGTCAATGTCCCCGCGTCCCTCTGGTGACCGAGCCCACGGCGACGTCCCCACGTCCCTGCAGCTGCACGAGGCCGTGGTGGCACCGCTGTCCTCAGGTGTCCCCACAGTGTCCCCACCTTGTCCCCACGGTGTCCCTTCATGCCCCCATCTCCACAACATCAGGGTGGCCACCATGCCCACGTCCCACCAGATGCCACCACACGTCCCTCCAGATGCCACCACATGTTCCCCTCATGTCCCCTGATGTCCCCATCTCCACGGTGGACTGGTGGCCACCATCCTCGGCTGCCACCACACGTCCCCTGATGTCCCCCAGCCTCAGGGACACGACGGCAGCTCCGGGCATCCCCCGGCGGCGGGCGGCCACCGGGCGCGCCTGGCCGTCCCCTCAGGTGCCGACGTCCTCGGTGACGTGGGCGTAGATCTGGGTGGCCCCCTTGAAGCTGGAGGCCACCAGGAAGTGGCGGTGGCCGACGGCGACGGGGACGAAGGCGCGGGGGGTGGGCGCGGGCAGGTCCTGGGCGGGCTCCAGGCGGCCGCCGGCGCCCAGGCGGAAGACGCGGCTCGGGGCGAAGTCGTTGCCCAGCAGGACGTAGCGGTGGCCGGCCAGGAGCAGCGGCTGGAAGACCAGAGAGCCGCGGGCCGGCACCTGCTGCACCTCGCGGAACATGGAGCCCTCCCAGCGCATCACCTGGAGATGGCGCGGGGTGGGGGGTCAGCGGTGGGACCATGGGGTGGGTTGGGTTGGGTGGGCTGGGTTTGGTTTGGTTGGGTTGGGTTGGATGGGTTGGGTTGGTTGGGTGGGTTGGGTTTGGTTGGTTGGGTTGGTTGGGTTGGTTGGGATGGAGATGGCACCATTTGGTGGGTGGTGGCACCATGGGGTGGGTGGTGGGACCATGGGGTGGGTGGTGGGACCATGGGGTGGGTGGTGGCACCATGGGGTGGGTGGTGGCACCGTGGGGTGGGTGGTGGCACCGTGGGGTGGGTGGTGGGACCATGGGATGGAGATGGCACCATGGGGTGGGTGGTGGCACCATGGGGTGGGTTGGGTTGGGGCCCTGCCTGCACTTCACCTGCACTTGGGGTCAGGGGTCAGAGGTGGGGCCTCGTGGCCCTGATGGGCCCCCATGGCCATGGGGTGGCCATCATCACCCTGGTGGCCCCACCTGTGACCACTCGTGGCCCCGATGTCTCCCCATGACCACATGGCCTTGATGGAACCCCATGGACCCATGACCCTGGTGACCCCCCATGACCCCATGACCTTGGGAACCTTCCATGACCCCATGGCCTTGATGGACCTTCATGACCACACAACCATGATGGAACCCCATAACCACATGACCTTGATGGACCCCCATGACCACACAACCATGATGGAACCCAATGGACCCATGACCCTGCTGACCCCCTCATGACCACATGACCTTGATGGAACCCCATAACCCCATGACCCTAATGGACCCCCATAACCCTGTGAGCTTGATGGACCCCCATAACCACACAACCTTGATGGACCCCCATAACCCCATGACCCCGCTGCACCCCCAATCCCTGCTGACCCCCCATGACCTTGCCGGACCCCCACCCCCCCACCCACCACGACCCCACCACCCCCAAGCCCGCCGCCATCACCTTGGCGTCGCCCAGGAACCTGGTGAGGCACAGGAAGACGCTGCCCCGCAGGCGGAAGTGCTTGGCGGCGTAGGCGTCGGGCACGTGGGGGATGTCGGTGTGCGGCGCGAAGGCGTCGCCGCTCCAGCGGTAGACGAGCGGCCGTCGCGCGGCGCCGCAGAGCACCAGGGCCGGCCGCCCGCCCAGCTCCAGGAACTCCAGGTGGGTGTCGCGCTGCCACGGCCGCAGCGCCTGGTGCGGGTAGAAGCCGCCCGAGGCCCAGCGGAACACGGTGCTGGTGCCGCCCTTGGAGCTGTCGGCCACCCCCAGGTAGAGGTGCCCGGCCAGGCGCGCGGCGGCCACGGCGTGGGGCCGGCGCAGGCGGCCGGCGCCCAGGGCCTGGTGGCGCACGAAGGCCGAGCCGGGGCCGCCCGAGCGCCGCCACACCCAGGAGCCGCCGCCCAGCTGGGCCACCACCAGCAGCAGGGTGTCACCCAGCGGGACCGGGTGGCAGGCCACCGGTGAGGAGCCTGGGGGGACGGAGGGGACGTCGGCGGGGACACGGGGGCAGCAGGGACACCGGGGACAGCAGGGACCTTGGGGACACTGGGACAGCAGGGACCTTGGGGACAGCAGGGACCTTGGGGACAGCGGGGACACTGGGGACAGCAGGGACCTTGGGGACAGCAGGGACCTTGGGGACATCGGGGACACTGGGGACAGCAGGGACCTTGGGGACAGCGGGGACACTGGGGACAGCAGGGACCTTGGGGACAGCGGGGACACTGGGGACAGCAGGGACCTTGGGGACACTGAGGACAGCGGGGACACTGGGGACAGCAGGGACATTGGGGACACTGGGGACAGCGGGGACACTGGGGACATCAGGGACCTTGGGGACATTGGAGATGTTGGGGACCTTTGGGACCTTGGTGGTTATTGGAGGGCTCGGGGACATCTGGGGACATCTGGGGACATTTGGGGACCTTTGGGGACCTTTGAGCACCTTGAGGACCTTGGGGACATCGGGGCAATTCCTTTGTTCTCCCCCAAGGTCATTTTGGGGACCCTCAGCCCATTTTTGGGGTCCCCGAGGCCATTTCTGGGGGGTCACCCCAACTCTTGGTGTCCTCGGGTCCCTCTTGATGTTCCTCACCCAACTTTAACCATTCCCACCCCATTTTTAACCATTCCCACCCCATTTTCCCCATTCCCACCCTGTTTTCCCCATTTGTCCCATTTTTTCGCAATTTTCTCAATTTTTTTCCATTTTCCCCATTCCCCTTCATTTCTCCCCCTTTTACCCAATTTTCTTTTATTTTCACCATTTTTCTCCCGTTTTCCCCTCCATTTTACTCCATTTCCCCCCACTCCCCCTGTTTTTTCCCATTTCCCCCCATTTATTCACTATTTTCCCCCTTTTTCCCCATTTTACCCTGTTTCTCTCACTGTTGGTTATGATGGGGGAACAGAACCTCCCCCCTATTTTTTTCATTATTTTTCCCCCAATTTTTGCCCCTTTCCCCCTCTTTTTCTTGTTTTTTTTTCACTGTTCTATCCCTTTTTCCCCATTTCCCTCTATTTTATCCCGTTTTCCACCATTTTAACCCCATTTCCCCCATCAATTCCCATTTTTCCCCATTTCCTCCTTCTTTTTCAACATTTTCTCCCCGTTTTTCTCCATTTCCTTCAATTTTCCCCAATTTTCCCCCCATTTCCTCCATTTTCTCATAATTCTTTCAATTTTTTCACCATTTTCCCATTTCCACCCTTTTTAACCATTTTTTCAGTTTTTTCCATTCCCCCATTTTTCCCTATTTTCCCCCCATTTCCCTATTTCCCCCATTTTTTCCCCATATCCCCCCATTTTTTATTTTTTCCATTTTACCTGATTTCCCCCCTTTTCCACCATTTTAACCCCATTTCCCCCATCTACTCCCATTTTTTCACCATTTCCTCCTTCTTTTTCAACATTTTCTTCCCATTTTTCTCCATTTCCCCCCCATTTCTCCCATTTTCTCAGAGTTCTTTCAGTTTTTCACCATTTTCCCATTTCCCTCCATTTTTTCCCCATTTCCCCATTTCCCCCCCATTTTTTCCCATTTCCCCCCATTTCTCTCGCTGTTCACGATGGTGGGCACACAGAACCTCCCACCCCATTTCCCCCTCATTTCCCCCATTTTTCCTTCATTTTTTTCCCATTTTCCCCCAATTTTTCCCACTTTTCCTCCCATTTTCACCAATTTATCCCCCATTTTCCCAATTTCCCCCCGTTTTTCCCCGTTTCCCCCTTTTCTCTCACCGCTGACGACGCTGTGGGCTCAGAATCCCATTTTTTCGCCATTTCCCCCAATTTTTTTGCCACTTCCCCCCATTTTTTTCCACAATTTTTCCCATTTTCCCCCGTTTTTCCCCCATTTCTCTTGCTGTTGAGGACGCTGTGGGCTTGGACACTCCCTCTGAGCTGCTCCCAGTCCCACCCCATTTTCCCCAATTTCCCCAAATTTTTCCCCATTTCCCCCCATTTTTACCCCATTTCCCCATTTTGCTCTAGTTCCCCCCATTTTTTCGCCATTTCCCCCCATTTTTTCCCCAATTTTTCCCATTTTTCCCCATTTTTCCCCCATTTCTCTCGCCGTTGATGATGCGCTGTGCTCAGAACCTCCCCCCAAGCTGTTCCCACTCCCCCCCATTTTCCCCATTTCTCCCCCATTTTTTTCTCATTTTTTCCCCCATTTTTTTGCCATTTTCCCCTTTTTTTCCCGTTTTTCCCCCGTTTTCCCCCCATTTTTCGCCTGTTTTACCCCATTTCTCTCGCTGTTGAGGACGCTGTGGGCTCAGAAGCTCCCCCCGAGCTGTCCCCACTCCCGCCCCATTTTCCCCATTTCTCCCCCGTTTTTTCCCCATTTTCCCTCATTTTTTCGCCGTTTCCCCCCATTTTTTGGCCGTTTTCCCCCATTTTTTCCCGTTTCCCCCCATTTTTGCCCCGTTTCGCTCACCGTTGATGACGTGCTGGGCGCGGAAGCTGCCCCCCAGCTGGTCCCACTCCAGCAGGGCGCAGGCTCCGGCCGCCGGCTGCGCCAGGGCCACCCCAGGGTGCCCCCCGAGCGCGAAGGGCTCGGCCCCGAGCGAGGAGAACGGCAGCGCCTGGAACGGCCGCAGCTCTGGGGACACGGGGACAGTTGGGGACATGGGGACAGCTTGGGGACATCCCTGGGGACATGGGGACATGGCTGGGGATGTGGGGACAGCGTGGGGACATCCCTGGGGACATGGGGACAGCCCGGGGACAGCTTGGGGACATGGCTGGGGATCTGGGGACAGCTTGGGGACATCCCTGGGGACATGGGGACAGCCCGGGGACAGCGTGGGGACAGCTTGCTGACATCTTGGGGACATGGCTGGGGACATAGGGAGAGTTGGGGACATCCCCAGGGACATTGGACAGCCCCAGGCCCTCCCAGTCCCATTCCCCCCCACAAAACCCCCCGTCCCAGTCCCTGCCAGTATATCCCAGTATAAACCAGTATAAACCAGTCCCTGCCAGTATATCCCAGTCCCTCCAGTATATCCCAGTACAAACCAGCACAAGCCAGTCCCCTCCATGCCCCATTTTCACCCCCAAACCCCCCGGATTTTCTCCCCCCGGTCCCTCCCAGTTTGTCCCAGTTTGTCCCAGTCCATCCCAGTATACCCCAGTATATCCCAGTCCCATCTTCCCATCTAAAATTTCCAATTTTACCCCTGAAATTCCCATTTCTCACCCTAAAACCACCGGAGTTTTCCCCCAAGTCCCTCCCAGTATGACCCAGTCCCTCCCAGTATAACCCAGTATGTCCCAGTCCCTCCCAGTCCCATTTTCCCCCCCAAAATCCCCTGGATTTTCTCCCCCCAGTCCCTCCCAGTCCCTCCCAGTTCCCTCCCAGCCCATCCCAGTTCCCTCCCAGTTCCCCCCCAGTCCCTCCCAGTTCCCTCAAAGTCCCCCCAGTCCCTCCCAGTCCATCCCAGTTTTTCCCAGTGCCTCCCAGTCCCTCCCAGTCCCCCCCAGTCCCCCCCCAGTCCCTCCCAGTCCCTCCCAGTCCATCCCAGTTCCCTCCCAGTTTTTCCCAGTTCCCTCCCAGTCCATTCCAGTCCATCCCAGTTCCCCCAGCTCCCCCCAATCCCCTCCCAGTTCCCCCCCATCTTTTCCCAGTATATCCCAGTCCCTCCAAGTCCCCCCCCAGTTCCCTCCCAGTCCATCCCAGTTCCCCCCAGTCCCCCCTGGTCCCCTCCCAGTTCCCTCCCAGTCCCTCCCAGTATAAACCAGTTCCCCACAATCCCCTCCCAGTTCCCTCCCAGTCCCCCCCAGTCCCTCTCAGTCCAACCCAGTATATCCCAGTTTGTCCCAGTCCATCCCAGCTTGTCCCAGTTCCCTCCCACTTCCCCCCAGTCCCCCCCAATCTCTTCCCAGTTCCCCCCAGTCCCTCGCAGTCCCATTTTTAACCCCTAAAACCCCCTGGATTTTCTCCCCCCAGTGCCCCCCTGTCCCCCCCAGTCCCTCCCAGTTCCCTCCCAGTCCCCCCCCAGTCCCTCCCAATTCCCTCCCAGTTGCTTCCAGTCCCCCCCCAGTCCCTCCCAGTTGCTCCCAGTCCCTCCCAGTTCCATCCCACTTTGTCCCAGTTCCCTCCCAGTTTGTTCCAGTCCATCCCAGTCCCCCCCAGTTCCCTCGCACTTTGTCCCAGTTCCTTCCCAGTCCCCTCCCAGTCCCTCCCAGTATAAACCAGTCACCGTGGCGCTGGCACTGGAGCTGCCGGGGCCCGAGCAGTGCCAGGGCGGTGCCGGCCAGCGCCGCGGGGCCGTGGCAGCGGGCGCCGCCCTCGGGGCCGGGGCCGGGCCGGGCGCGCAGCCAGCGCAGCAGCCAGCGCAGCGCGCAGTCACAGCGCAGCGGGTTCCCCCGCAGGTCCCTGCGCCAGGGACACCGGGGACAGCGGGGACAGCCACGTCGGGGTCACCGGGGGACAGCCACGTCGGGGTCACCGCGTTGGGGTCACCGCGTTGGGGACACCGGGGGGACAGCCACGTCGGGGTCACCGCGTTGGGGACAGCCACGTCGGGGTCACCGTGTTGGGGACACCGGGGGACAGCCACGTTGGGGTCACCGCGTTGGGGACAGCAGGGGATGGCCACGTCGGGGTCACCGCGTTGGGGACAGCCACGTCGGGGTCACCACGTTGGGGACACCAGGGGTACAGCCACGTTGGGGTCACCGCGTTGGGGACAGCCACGTTGGGGTCACCACGTTGGGGACAGCCACGTTGGGGTCACCACGTTGGGGACACCAGGGGACAGCCACATTGGGGTCACCGCGTTGGGGACACCGGGGACAGCCACGTCGGGGTCACCGCGTTGGGGACAGCCACATTGGGGTCACCGCGTTGGGGACAGCGGGGGACAGCCACGTTGGGGACACCGCATTGGGGACACCACAGGTTGGGGACACCACATTGGGGACACCACAGGGAGACCGCATTGGGGACACCATGGGGACACCGGGGGACACCACAGGGACACCGCATTGGGGACACCACGGGGACACCACGGGGACATCACGCCAGGGACACCACGGGGACACCGGGGGAGATCACGGGGACATCACGCCGGGGACACCACAGGTCGATGACACCAAGGGTCAACACATCGGGGACACCGCATTGGGGACATCGCAGGGACACCACGGGGACACCACGGGGACATCCCAGGTTGGCACGTTGGGGACGCCACGGGTCGGCGCGTCGGGAGCACCGAGGGTCGCCGGGTGGCACGAAGGGGCAGCGAAGCGGGGAAAAAACGGCAGCAAAGTGAGAAAAATGGCAAAATGTGGCACCAAAGTGACAAAAGTGGCAACAAAATGACAAAAAATGGCACCAAGGTGAGAAAAGTGGCACCAAAGCGGCACCAAAGTGGCACTAAATGCCACCAGGTGTCACCAGGTTTCAGCAGAGTGGCAAAAAGTGGCAGCAAAATGAGAAAAATGGCACCAAGTGGCACCAAGTGACAACAAAGTGGCACCAAAGTGGCACCAAGTGACATCAAAGTGGCACCAAAGTGGCACTAAGTGGCACCAGGGGTCACCAAAGTGGCAAAAAATGGCACCAAATGGCACCAGAGTGGCAAAAAGTGGCACCAAATGGCAGCAAAGTGACAAAAATGGCACCAAAGTGGCACTAAAGGGACATCAAGTGGCACTAAGTGGTACCAGGGGTCACCAGAGTGGCAAACGTGGCACCAAAGTGACAAAAAGTGGCACCAAAGTGGCATCAAATGGCACCAAGTGGCACCAAAGTGGCACTAGGTGGTCCCAAAGTGGCAAAAAGTGGCACAAAAGTGAGAAAAATGGCACCAAAGTGGCACTAAATGTCACCAGGTGTCACCAGAGTGGCAAAAAGTGGCAGCAAAGTGACAAAAATGGCACCAAATGGCACCAGAGTGGCACCGAATGGCACCAAAGTGGCCCCAGGTGGCACCAGAGTGGCACTGAAGTGGCACTGAAGGGACATCGGGTGGCATCAAATGTCACCAAATGCCACCAGAGTGGCACAAAATGGCACCAAACGGCAGCAAAGTGACAAAAAGTGGCACCAAAGTGGCACCAACCCTCCCAACCCCCCAGTGTCCCCAAAGGTCACCAAACGTCCCCAATGTCCCCAAATGTCCCCAACCCCCAAATGTCCCCAATGTTCCCAATGTCCCCAACCCCCCAATCCCCTCAATGTCCCAAAATCCCCCAAATGTCCCCAGTGTCCCCAACCCCCCCAGTGTCACCCACAGGTGGCCGAGGTTGGGCAGCTCCTGGAAGAGGCCGCGGGGCAGCGACTGCAGGAGGTTGTCGGCCAGACTCCTGCGGGGACAGCGGGGACATTGGGGGACATTTGGGGACATTGGGGACATTTGGGGACACTGGGGACATTGGGGACACTGGGGACATTTGGGGGTTGGGGACATTTGGGGACATTGGGGACATTGGGGACATCTGGGGACATCGGGGACATTTGGGGACACCTTGAGGACACTTGGGGACATTGGGGACATTTGGGGAATTGGGGGGATTGGGGACATTGGGGACATTTGGGGACATTTGGGGACACTCACAGGAACAGGAGCCCCCGGAGCCCCCAGAGAGCTGCAGGGGGGAGGGAGCGGAGCTGGGAGTCCTCCAGGAACCTGCCCAGTATGGACCAGTACGGACCAGTATGGACCAGTACGGACCAGTACGGACCAGTACAGACCGGTACGGACCAGTACAAACCAGTATGGACCTGTACGGACTAGTACGGACCAGTATGGACCAGTTACAGACCAGTACGGACCAGTTACAGACCAGTATGGACCAGTATGGACCAGTACGGACCAGTACGGACCAGTATGGACCAGTATGGACCAGTACGGACCAGTACGGACCAGTTACAGACCAGTACGGACCAGTATGGACCAGTATGGACCAGTATGGACCAGTATAAACGAGTTACAGACCAGTATGGAGCAGTATGGACTGGTACAAACCAGTACAGACCAGTATAAACCAGTACAAACCAATATAACCAGTCCCTCCCAGTTTGTCCCGGTCCCTCCCAGTACAAACCAGTACAAACCAGTCCAAACCAGTAAAAACCAGTCCAAACCAGTCCAAACCAGTCCCTCCCAGTCCAAACCAGTCCAAACCAGTATAACCAGTATCCCCAGTATCACTCAAAGGGACTCGAGTGCCCCCAGCTCCATTCCCCATCCAAACCAGTATAAACCAGTACAAACCAGTATAACCGGTCCAAACCAGTCCAAACCAGTCCAAACCAGTACAAACCAGTATAAACCAGTCCCTCCCAGCATAAACCAGTACAAACCAGTCCAAACCAGTACAAACCAGTACAAACCAGTCCAAACCAGTCCAAACCAGTACAAACCAGTACAAACTAGTATAAGCAGTCCAAACCAGTCCAAACCAGTCCAAACCAGTCCAAACCAGTCCAAACCAGTAAAACAGTACAAACCAGTCCCTCCCAGTATAAACCAGTCCAAACCAGTCCAAACCAGTCCAAACCAGTCCAAACTAGTCCAAACCAGTCGTTCCCAGTCGTTCCCAGTGCAAACCAGTATACCCAGTATCCCCAGTGTGACTCACAGGTACTCCAGCGCCCCCAGCCCCTCGAAGGCTCCGTCCCCGACGCTCCCCAGGCGCCCCGAGGCCACCAGGCTGGGGGGACAGAGGGACATTGTGGGGACATTGGGGACATTGGGGACATTTGGGACATTTTGGGGACATTTGGGGACAATTTGGGGACATTTGGGGACATTTTGGGAGGTTTCCGGGTCAATTTTGGGGACATTTGGGACAATTTTTGGGACATTTTGGGACATTTGGTGACATTTGGGGACATTTGGGATATTTGGAGACATTTGGGACATTTGGGGACGTTTTGGGACATTTGGGGACATTTGGGGACATTTGGGATATTTGGGGACATTTGGGACATTTGGGGACATTTTGGGACATTTGGGACCATTTGGGGATATTTTGGGGACTTCTGGGGACATTTTGGGGACTTTTGGGGACATTGGGGAAATTTTGGGACATTTTTAGGTGATTTTGGGGTCAAATCCAGGGACAATTTGGGACATTTTGGCGTCAATTATGGGGACATTTGGGGACATTTTAGGAGATTTTCGGGTCAAGTTTGGGGACTTTTGGGTTAATTTGGGGACATTTGGGACAATTTTGGGACATTTGGGACAATTTGGGCACAACTGGGGACAATTGGGGCATTTGGGGACATTTTGGGGGATTTGGGGACATTTTGGGAGGTTTTTGGGTCAATTTTGGGGACATTTGGGACAATTTTGGGGACATTTTGGGACATTTTGGGACATTTGGGGACATTTGGGACAATTTGGGGACAATTGGGAACAATTGGGGCATTTGGGGACATTTTGGGGAGTTTGGGGACATTTTGGGAGGTTTTTGGGTCAATTTTGGGGACATTTGGCACAATTTTGGAGACATTTTGGGACATTTTGGGACATTTGGGGACATTTGGGACAATTTGGGGACATTTGGGATATTTGGGGACATTTGGGGACATTTGGGGACATTTGGGGACATTTGGGGTCAATTCTGGGGCAAATTTGGGACAACTTTGGGACATTTTTGGGACCTTTTGTGGCAATTTTGGGTCCGTTCGGGGACAATTTGGGGACATCAGGGACAAATTTTGGGACATTTGGGGACATTTTTGGGAGATTTTCAGGTCCATTTTGGGGATAATTTGGGCCATTTTGGGGACATTGGGGACACATTTTGGGGACAATTTGGGGACATTTGGGACATTTGGGGTTTTGGGGGATATTTTGGGGGATTTTGGGATATTTTTGGATTTTTGGGATATTTTGGGGGATTTTTGGGGGGGGATTTTGGGGGTTTTTGGTTGTTTTTTGGGGATTTTTTTGTGTTTTGGGGATCTAGGGGTTTTTTTGGGGACATTTTGGGGATTTGGGGATATTTTGGGGGATTTTGGGATCATTTGGGGCATTTTGAGTTGGTTTTGGGGGATTTGGGAGATTTTTGGGGTGATTTGGGGATATTTGGGCTGATTTTGGGCCATTTTGGGATATTCGGGGGATTTTGGGGGGTTTTGGGGATTTGGGTTTTTTTTCGTTGTTTTTAGGGGATTTTTTTGTGTTTCGAGGAATTTGGGGGTTTGGGGGTGATTTTTTGGGGATATTTTGTAATATTTTGGGGGATTTGGGGATATTTTGGGTGATTTTGGGACATTTAGGGATGGTTTTGGATATTTTTGGATATTTTTGGGATGGTTTTGGGACATTTTAGTGATTTTTGGGACATTTTGGGAGATATTTTTGGGATATTTTGGGATATTTTTGGGATGTTTTTTTTTGGGACATTTTGGGATGTTTTGGGGGCATTTTTGGGGCGTTTTTGGGGGATATTTTGGGATGTTTTGGGGGTGTTTTGGGGGCGTTTTGGGGGCGTTTTGGGGGTGTTTTGGGGGATATTTTGGGATATTTTTGGGGTGATTTTTTGGGCCATTTTGGGGTGATTTTGGGGTGTTTTGGGGCGGTTTTGGGCCATTTTGGGGATTTTGGGGACTCACAGCAGCGTCAGCGCCGGGAGGTGCCGGAAGCTCCCCTGGGGCAGCTCCTCGATGTCCCAGCGGAGCAGCGAGCTGGAAATGGGGGAAAAAACGGGAAAAAACGGGAAAATTGGGGGGAAATGGGAAAAAATGGGGGAAAAACCGGGGAAATGGGAAAAATTGGGGAAATTTGGGGGAAAAAACGGGAAAAACACGGGGGGGAGAAGTGGGGAAAATTGGGGCAAAAAAAAGGGAAAAATGGGAAAAATTGGGGGGAAAATGGGGAAATTGGAAAAATTGGGAAAATTGGGAAAAATGGGAAAAGAACGGCAGAAAATGGGAAGAATTGGGGGGAAAACGGGAAAAAATGGGAGAAGTTGGGGAAAATGGGGGGAAAAACGAGAAAATGGGAAAAGTAGGGAAAAATTGGGAAAATTTGGGAAAATTGGGAAAAAAACGGGAAAAGAATGGGGCAAATGGGAAAAATTGGGGGGAAACTGGGCAAAATGGGACAAAATGGGAAAAATGGGAAAAACTGGGGGAATTTGGGATGAAAATTGGAAAACTGGGGAAATTTGAGTGGAATTTTTAGGACATTTTTGGAAAATTTAGGGAAATTTGAGGGATTTTGGGGAAAATTTGGGCAGAAAATGGGAAAAGTGGGGGAATTTTGGGGATTTTTGGGGATTTTGTGGGAATTTGAGGAAAAATTGGGGGAAATTTCTGGTGAAATTTGGGAAAATTGGGAGAATTTTGGGGGGAAATTGGGGGAATTTTGGGGAATTTGGGGAAATTTGGAGGGAAATGGGAAAATTGGGGTGAATTTCAGGGAAATTTGGGGAATTTGGGGGGAAATGGGAGAATTGGGGAATTTGGAAAATTTCAGGGGAATTTTTGGGGGGTCCCAAATTTGGGGGATTTTGGGGTTTGGGGGGGTCCCAAATTTGGGGGGATTTGGGGGATTTTGGGGGGATTTGGGGTCCCAATTTAGGAGCTCATGGGGTTTTCGGGTCCCAAATTTGGGGGATTCTGGCGGGTCCCAAATTTGCAGGATTTTGGCGGATTTGGGAGGTCCCGGGGGAGATTTTGGGGTTCCAAATTTGGGGGGTTTTGGGGGGGTCCTGGGGTGTTTGGAGACACAATTTTGGGGGGATTTTGGGATTTAGGGGGTCCCGGGAGGGATTTTGGGAGGTGCCAGGGTGAATTTTTGGGGTTTCAAATTTGGGGGATTTTGGGGTCCCAAATTGGGAGGATTTTGAGGGGTCCCGAGGGGATTTTGGGGCTCCCAAATTTGGGGGATTTTGGGAGATCCCGGGTCGGTTTTGGGCTCCCAAATTTGGAGGATTTTGGGGTATCCCGGGCTGGATTTTTGGGGGTCCCGGGGAGGATTTTGGGCTCCCAAAATTGGGAATTTTTGACCTCCCAAATTTGCCGGGACCGTTCCAAAGGAGGGAAAACGGGGGGGAGGGAGGGGGGGGAGGGAAAGGAGCTCAAGGGAACCCCAAAATCTCTTTTGGGGGGGGGTCCCCGAATTGGGGGGGGGCGGGTCGGGGCACTCACAGCGTGGCCAGGCCCGGGGGGAGCCCCCGGGGGACGCCCCCGGCCCCCCCCCGGCAGCGGGCGTTGGTTCGGTCGCAGTCGCAGCCCCCGGGACAGGCCACGCCCCCTTTGGGGACCCCCCCAAAAAACGGGACCCCCCCAAAAACCGACGGGACCCCCCCGAAAACCAACGGGACCCCCCCGAAAACCGACGGGACCCCCCCGAAAACCAACGGGACCCCCCCAAAAACCAACGGGACCCCCCCAAAAATCAACGGGACCCCCCCGAAAACCGACGGGACCCCCCCGGAAAGCGCCAGGAGGGCCCCGAGAAGGAGCAGGGGAGGCATGGGGGGGGGGGTTCCCCAAAAAAGGGGGAAATTCCTAAAAAAAGCCCCCAAAAAATTCCCAAGAATTCCCCCCCAAAAAAAAATCCCAAAAAAGCACAAACAATGAAAATAAATTCCCAGAAAAAGCACCGAAAAAATCCCGAAAATTCCCCCCAAAAATCCCAAAAAAGCACAAAAAAATCCCCCAAAAAATCTCAAAAATCACAAAAAAATTCTCAGAAATTCCCCAAAAAAGGGAAAAATTAAAAAAAAAATCCACAGAAAAAGCACAAAAAAAATCCCAAAAAACCTGCCCCCAAAAAAATTCCAAAAAAGCACCAAAAAAATTGCCAAAATTTCCCCCAAAATCCAAAAAAAGGACCAAAAATCCCAAAACTTTAAAAAAATTCTCAAATATTCCCAAAAAAGCACAAAAAAATTCCCAAAAATTCAAAAAAAATTCCAAAAACCCCCAAAAATCCCAAAAAAATCCCCCCCAAAATTGGTTTAAACCCCCCAAAAAAACAAAAATAATAAAACAGAAACAGTTTAGAAAACCCGACAAAAATCCCCAAAATCCCACCAAAGTTCCCCAAAATTTTGTTTTAAATACCCAAAAAAAATCCAAAAAACGAACTCAAAATAAGCACAGAAAATCAACAAAAAAAAAAGAACCCAAACAAGTACGAAAAAATTCCCCCAAAATCCCAATAAAATCCCCCCAAATTTGGTTTAAAACCCCCCCAAAAAAAACCCCAAAAAATTAAAAAAAAAAATTAAAAAAAAAATCCCCAAACAATCCAGATGAAATCCCCCAAAATTCTGGAAATCCCCAAAAAAGCCCCGGAAAATCCTCCAGAAATTCCAAAAATTCCAAAAAAACAAAATAAAAATCCTAAAAAAAGCCTGAAAATGTCCTAAAAACACCCAAAAAATCCTAAAAAACCCTTAAAAACCCAAAGAAGGAACCTCAAAATATCCTAAAAAAAACCCCTTTAAAATATCCTTTAAAAAATCCCAAAAAACAACAACAAAAAAAAAAAAAATCCCGAAAAAACCTTAAAAATCCTTAAAGAAATAAAAAAATAATATAATCCTTTAAAAACCCCTAAAAAACCTTAAAATAACGAAAAGGACAAAAAAGACCCAAAAAATCCTTCAAAAATCTTTAAACAAACCCAAAAAATCCCTGAAAAGCACCAAAAAATCCCAAAAATTTCAAATAAACAAAACCAAAAAATCCCCGAGAAAGCCCCAAAACTCCCAAAACAGCAACAAAAAAACCCCAAAATCTCAAAAAAATCCCCAAAAATTCAAATCAAAAAGGCCCCAAAAATCCCCAAAAAAACCCCCAAAAAATCCCAAAAATCACGAAATACTCAAATAAAAAAACCCCCAAATCCCAAAATCCCAAAAATTCAACTCAAAAACTCAAAAAAAATCCCCAAAAAAACCCGAAAATTCCCCAAATTCCCAAACAAATCCCAAAATATTCAAATAAAAAAACCGAAAAAAAAAAACCCCTCGAAAAACCCCCAAAGCCCCAAATAATCTGAAAATCCCAAAAATTCCCCAAAAATCCGCCCCAAAAACCCCAAAAAAACCCAAGAAAAGCCCCAAAAATCCCAAAATCCGCCCCAAAATCCCGCCCGGAGCCGGCACCGCCTCAAAGCGGCCCCGAATTCCCCAAAAATTCCCAAAAAATTCTCCAAAAATTTCCCAAAAATCCCAAAAAACCCCCAAAATTCCCAAAATCTTCCAAAAATTCCCAAAAACTCCCAAAAAAAAACCCCCAAAATCCGCCCTAAAATCCCGCCCAGCATCGGCCCCGCCCCAAAGCGGCCCCGAATTCCCGAACGATTCCCAAAAAATTCCCCAAAAATCCCAAAATAACCCCAAAAATTCCCCAAAATCCCAAAAATAGCCCCCCAAAACCCCCGAAATCGCCCCCAAAAAATTCCCGAATCCGCCCTAAAATGGCCAAAATCGCCCCGAAAAATCCCCCAAAAAATCCCAAATTCCGCTCCCCCGCCCCTCCTCGCGCCCCTCCCGCTCCTCGCGCCCCGAAAGTGCCGAAAATTCCCCAAATTCGCCCCCAAAAATTCCCGAATTGGCCCCAAAAACGGCCCCGAAATTCCCGCGGCTTCGGCTCCGGCCGGCGGCGCCGCGCGGGGTGGGCGGGGCCGTGGGCGGGGCCGTGGGCGGGACCGGGGCGGGGCTGGCCGTGGCCACGCCCACAGTGGGCGGGGCCATGGCCATATAAGGAGCGGATGCCCAAATTCGGAGGGGCGGCCGCGGCGGGGAGGCCACGCCCAGCGCCGGTACAAAGGCGCCGCTCGTCGGGACCGGGACAGACAGAGCGGCTTTGTCACTGGTTTGGACTGGGAGGGACCGGGAGGGACTGGGAGGGACTGGGAGGGGCTGGGAGGGACTGGGAGATACTGGGAGGGACTGGGAGGGACTGGGACAGAGCGGCTTTGTCACTGGTTTGGACTGGGAGGGGCTGGGAGGGGCTGGGAGGGACTGGGAGGGACTGGGAGGGACTGGGAGGGACTGGGATATACTGGGAGGGACTGGGACAGGGCAGCTTTGTACTGGTTTGTACTGGTTTGGACTGATTTGTACTCGGAAGGACTGGGACGCACTGGGACAGAGGGGTCTTTGTTACTGGTTTATACTGGGAGGGACTGGGAGGTCACTGGGGGTCACTGGGACAAAGAGGCTTTGGACCGGTTTGTACTGGGAGATACTGGGAGGGACTGGGAGGGACTGGGAGGGACTGGGAGGGACTGGGAGATACTGGGAGGGACTGGGACAAGGCAGCTTTGTACTGGTTTGTACTGGGAGGGACTGGGAGGGACTGGGAGATACTGGGAGGGACTGGGACAAGGCAGCTTTGTACTGGGAGGGACTGGGAGGGACTGGGAGGGACTGGGACAGAGCGGCTTTGTACTGGTTTGGACTGGTTTGTACTGATTTGTACTCGGAAGGACTGGGACGCACTGGGACAGAGGGGTCTTTGTTACTGGTTTATACTGGGAGGGACTGGGAGGTCACTGGGGGTCACTGGGACAAAGAGGCTTTGGACTGGTTTGTACTGGGAGCACTGGGAGGGACTGGGGGAGGGACTGGGACAAACTGGGAGGGAACTGGGAGGGAACTGGTTTATACTGGGAGGGAACTGGAAGGTTACTGGGACAGAGGGCACGTTCTACTGGGAGCACTGGGAGGGACTGGGGGGGTTCGCAGTCTGTTACTGGTCTGTACTGGTGTAACTGGTCTGTACTGGTATAACTGGTCCCTTACTGGTGTAACTGGTCCAGTACTGGTGTAACTGGTCCTGTACTGGTGTAACTGGTCTGTACTGGTGTAAATGGTCCGGCACTGGTGTAACTGGTCCCTTACTGGTGTAACTAGTCCGTTACTGGTGTAACTGGTCTGGTGTAACTGGTCTGTACTGGTGTAACTGGTCTGTACTGGTGTAACTGGTCCGTTAGTGGTGTAACTGGTCTGTACTGGTGTAACTGGTCCTGTACTGGTGTAACTGGTCCCTTACTGGTGTAACTGGTCTGGTGTAACTGGTCTGTACTGGTGTAACTGGTCTGTACTGGTGTAACTGGTCCGTTACTGGTGTAACTGGTCTGTACTGGTGTAACTGGTCCTGTACTGGTGTAACTGGTCCTGTACTGGTGTAACTGGTCCTGTACTGGTGTAACTGGTCCGGTACTGGTGTAACTGGTCCTGTACTGGTGTAACTGGTCCTGTACTGGTGTAACTGGTCCTGTACTGGTGTAACTGGTCCGGTACTGGTGTAACTGGTCCCGTACTGGTGTAACTGGTCCCGTACTGGTCCGTTACTGGTGTAACTGGTCCAGTACTGGTGTAACTGGTCCCTTACTGGTGTAACTGGTCTGTACTGGTGTAACTGGTCCGGTACTGGTGTAACTGGTCCTGTACTGGTGTAACTGGTCTGTTACTGTTGTAACTGGTCTGTTACTGGTGTAACTGGTCTGTACTGGTGTAACTCGTCCTGTACTGGTGTAACTGGTCCGGCACTGGTGTAACTGGTCCGGCACTGGTGTAACTGGTCCGGCACTGGTGTAACTGGTCCCTTACTGGTGTAACTGGTCCGTTACTGGTGTAACTGGTCCTGTACTGGTGTAACTGGTCCCTTACTGGTGTAACTGGTCCGGTACTGGTGTAACTGGTCCGGTACTGGTGTAACTGGTCCTGTACTGGTGTAACTGGTCCCTTACTGGTCCGTTACTGGTGTAACTGGTCCGGTACTGGTGTAACTGGTCCCTTACTGGTGTAACTGTTGCCTTCACGGGAGACAACGGCGACCTGGTTGCAAGGAGCAGCACGGCAGCCCGGCCTGTCCGGGCTACTCGGGCTAACGACACACGCTGACACCAGTGTGGTGGACGGTCGAAAGCGTTTATTATCTTATCTCATGGGTTTAAATAGTCTTGGGGGACTTTGCTACGTCAGAGGGGGGTTGTGGGGTCCCAGGGGTTAGTCGGGAGTGGAAAACTACTGGGTTAGGTGTGGTTACATGTTCTGGGGGTAATAGTTAACGTGAAGCAGGGTGAGGGGGGAAGGCTCTTTCTTTCCGTCACATCCCGGGATCTTCCGATCGCCTGTCCCTATCTACTACATCTCCCCCCTCCTTTTCATAAATAAAATGAGGTAGTCGTAGATATAGGCACTGGAGTGAGGTACAAACTCGTAACTTGGTAAGGAAAAGGTGGTTTTGTAAACCTGAGTAATTTTCGCAAGGCGAGTCTCGAAGGCTTTTGCGACTGACTGTGTTCGCAGTTTTTGGTTTACAGCATTTGTGTCTGGTCTACGAACAGAATGTTCGCCCGTTCTAGACGGGCCTGAACAAACGAGACTAGTTTGTTCAGCAGGCATGGTCCTATGGTAATAGCCAAAAGCAGTATTGCCAGTGGATCTACCAGGGCGGAAATTAAAGTGGTGAGCCAAGGTGATTGATTGAACCAGGATTCAAACCAGCTCTGTTGGGTTTCCCTGTCTCTCTTTCTCTGAGCCAGTCTGTCTCGGAGTTCTGCCATGGAGTCTTTAACGACTCCCGTATGATCTGCATAAAAGCAGCATTCCTCTTTCAGGGCTGCACACAGTCCTCCTTGTTGCATGAACAAGAGGTCCAGTCCTCGCCTATTTTGTAAAACCACTTCTGAAAGTGAAGAGACTGATTTCTCTAGATAGGAGATGGACTTCTCGATCCTCTGCAGGTCCTCGTCGATGGTCATTTGCAGCTGAGAGAGTCCGTGCTGCTGGGTTGCGATGGCTGAGACACCCGTGGCTGTGGCAGCTGCTCCCAGGCTGAGCAGCATTGCGATGGTTATACCTGTGATGATTTCCCTTTTGTGGAGTCTGTCAGGTTCCTCGAGAAGATGGTATATCTCTTCGTCTGAGTGGTACAGGACCCTGGGGACAATCAGAACTTGGACACAGAAATCGATAGAGTCATTAAATTTGGCAAGGAACACACAAGGACTCACTCCGGACCTTTGGCAAACCCACATCCCAGACGCAGATGGGATCACCCACTTATTGGTTTTTCTGTCGGGCTTGACAACTTTAGTGCAGAAGTTGCCTTTCTGCTTTGCTAAAGCTGCATTGCCAAAACATCTGCCCTGTCCTGTGATTTGACTCAGGGTGATTCCTCTGCGGGGAGTGTCCCATCTGCACTGGTGGGGGGCACTGGCTGTGGAGTAACTGAAGGGGGTGTCTAAAGCAATGCCTTTGTAGAAAAGGGGGTTTAACATCATAGCAAAGCCAACAGGAGTTAGTCAGGTTCGGTTTGGTTTCGTTTAGGGTTAGAAAGGTAGCTTCTAAACAGGTTGGCTATGTGGAACACGAAGGATGGGGTGTTCGCTGTGGTGACCTCTTTGAACACCTCGTCACTTGAAAGATGTTGCATGACCCACCTAAATGGCTGATGAGGGTTATGGCCTGGGTCGGCTTGCCCCCCGGCCACAAGCCCCAACAGCAAAATCACACAGAGACACTGTGCATGTCTGGGTCTCACCGATGTGGGACTCTCGGGTTTTGTCTGGCGGTTTGGTGGTTTGTCATCTCCCTCTGGAGCAGGGGTGTATGCATCACGGGCATGGTCCACAAGCATGTCCTGCAAACAAAAACTCACAGTTTTCCATTAATTTCATTCTGAAGGTCAGGTTGGATTGACCTGAGTGGACACCACCTGATCCTGTCCTCTTTTTTAACTGCCGCGTACCCTCGTCCCGTAAGCACCAGTCTCCAGCCCCGTTCCCACTCACCTAGCTCGTTTTTGACCATGACCTGTGGGCCCTCCTCTGGTGTCTGGGCGGCCCAGTGCTTTCAAATGGGACTGTTTGCTTCATCTCCCCTAGGGAATTGGTTCAGTGCTAATAGCGCGGTTGCTAGCATGCGTGTCTGGTCTCCTGAGGGAATGGAATTGGCAAAGCCCTCTGCCTTTGCCAATACTTCTAACTTGGCTTTTAGGGTCTGATTTGCTCGCTCGACAATGGCCTGTCTGGTGCTGTTATATGGGATTCCCTGCGCTAAGGTGATATCCCACACCGAGGCGAATTCCCGCACTGATTTGGAGATAAAATTGGAAGCATTGTCAGTTTATTTTGCTTGGGGATACCAAGCCATGCCATAACTGTCAGCCAGTGCTGGATCGTGGCCTTGGAGTTGGGTTTGAGGTGCTGTGTCGCTATGATCACTCCGCTGTAGGTGTCCACTGTCACTGCAAGCCATGCTCGGGGCTTTAGCAGTTCGCAGAGGGTGAAGTCTGACTGCCAGATTTCTGACGCCTTGAGGCCCCTCAGGTTGACTCCACCGGTCCATAGGGGTGACTTCTGGCAGTGAGGGCAGGTGGCCACTACGTGTCTCGCGTCCGCTGTCGAGATCCCGCATCTCTTCGCCAGTGCTTTGGCTCCGATGTGGAGTGACTCGTGCAGTTGACGAGCTTCCTGCAGCGTCCACACTCCCTTCGCTGCGGCATCTGCTTTGTCATTTCCAGTCTGGAAGAAGCCCTTGACTGGGTTATGGCTGTTGACGTGAATGACGGACACGGTGCCCTGGCGTGAGGAGAGTGCCTCTTCAAGCATGGAGGCCGTCGTGGATGTTGACACACCTGGTCTTGACATGGCTAGGCAGAGCTTTGCCATGAATATAGAGTCTGTCACGATGTTGAGGTGTTCGTCCTGGAAAAGTCCGCATGCCAAGACCACTGCTGC